TGTGTGTGTGTGTGTGTGTGCGTGTTCTTTTGTTCATACAGTACGTGTGGACTGTATATTTTTTATAAAGTGATTTTTCTGATCTTATCGGTGATTCACATTCACTTTGCAGTAAAAACAAAACACCGTTCTATTACACACCTGCTCATATTGACTTGAGGAGCCGGGGATCGAACTATCGACCTTCTCTTCCTCCTGAGGCAACATCTGCTCAGCTGTGTGCACGCGTGACTTCACATCAGCTGTCACCAGTGAAGTGTGTTTGTCTGAAGCTGTCAGCACAGATTCATTGGTGCTGTTCAGGTACAGGAGAGTGAGCAGAGAGCAGATGGACCATGAGGCCAAAACCTAAATCAAGATCATCATGATTATTACCACATTTAATTCATCTTCATATGTGTGCGTGTGTGTGTGTGTGTGTGTGTGTGTGTGTTATATATTATATTCACACGTATGAGCTGTGAGGATCCAGTTCCTTTAGTTCTGGATGAGACAAAGACAAAGTGAGAGAAAGAAGCAAAGAAAACTATTACTTTGTATCCTGTTAAGCCGGCGGTGAATAGACGCATTGTGTTTTGACTCCACGAGAGTTCGCTTGTTGTCACACACAAACCAGGCTGCAACCATGCGCTTACACGCAAACACGTACGTGGCTTCACATGCAAATACTGTAATCCTGAGAGTTCGGGGGGGGGGAGTGGGAATTACTGGAGCCGAGGTCTGATATTACTGCGAGTATAATTGCCGAGGGAATTATGACACATTTCATTTTGATGGTGTTTAGCTGACAGCTCCCTGCAGGACGTGTCCTCTCGTACATCATGTTTTGGAGGCTTCCTGCCGTCCTGCCTGGGCTTGGCTTCATCACACTCTGTTGCTTTAACTGCAGAGAGCAAAATCTGAATCTGCACGTCGTCACTCACTCCTCGAGGTTGCAGAGCCTGTCAGTTAACTGGTCATGGCTGCTGTAAAGCTTCAAAACCAAGCACAGCGGCCTACTTAGGCACACGAGTGAAGCTGGGAACACCGTCTGCTTCATGCATGTACATAAACATATGATACTGCCCAGAAGAATCCACTCATGTGCGTGCGTTATCCTCACGTGTTAGTTTGCTGCAACAAAGCTTTGTAAAAGTCACATGCTTTTCATGCATGAGTTACACTGTAGGTTACAAAGAAATCAGTCACATTAAAGGTTTTATTTTTCCATTTTCTCTGACTGACGCTGAGCAGAGGGCTTTAGAATTTTTCAAGAGAACAAATTCCTATTTAGGATTTATTCCATTTCAGGATCTTATTCTTCCCCCCAAAATAAATGACTTTTTAAGTAAACATATACAGCCACATCCCTCTACAGCCGTCCCAGGACCACGGTGTTATTTTAGTTTCTCTGTCATAGCTTCTCTGCCTCCCCGCTAATACACAAGTCTAAAATTAGACAGACGTCATGACAGAATGATGGTGTTGTGGTATCAGTGTGTTGTGGTGGAGAAGAAGAAGTAGTTTGACAACTTTACAGAGAGTACATCCTCGTTAGTTCTATCAAGCTTCTTTTCACCAGAGTCCAACAGAGACAACCGGATACTCTTGAAATGCCAGTTTTATGCCAATCGCAGGATTTAACCAGAACAATGCATATTTGAGTTCCGACAAAACATAAGCTACTTAGCTACTGATCGTTTCCATCAGACTCGCTGCAAGGTCCCCACCAGAGAGTGAATGTGACATGTTGTTCTTGTGGTTTGGCGGCTTAAGACGTGACCTTTACCCACCCGGTCCAGAGACTGTGTGTCATTGGATCCTCTGGAAAGATACTGCCTGGTTCTTACCCACTGTGTGTGTGTGTGTGTGTGTGTGTGTGTGTGTGTGTGTGTTGTGGGGAGGAGGGGGCACAGGGGGCAACAACCGACAATAGGGCAAGATGGGTGAGGGGATTGAGTGTCATATTAGATCCAGCAGCGACAGATGCACAAACACAGGGGGGAGTCTGGTGGGGGATGATGATTATCAGTGTGTTTGTGCATTTTGTGTGAGTTTGTTTGTGTCCTCGTCGTTGTGTTTGCACACGATAAATGTTCATAACTCCATCTTGAGGCCAGGCGTGTGTGTTGAGACACACACACACACACACACGCTGCTACTCACCCATCCCTGTGTGTGTGAGAACATATGAGTGCATGTCTGTAACATGAATAATTCATGTGTTGACCTACTGAGAAAATGTGGCTGGAGTCAGTCAGCAGCAGATAAAAGTGGCAGTAATCATGAAAGACGCCAATTTAAGGCTGAGGGCAAAATATTTTCTGAAAAATAGATGTTGTCTCTGCCTTTTGTCACTTTCCTCATAGAAGAATAAAAATCGCCGCAAATGGAAATAGTAGATCTTCTTCAGTAGACCAGATGTTTTTTGTGTAGTTAAAACACGATCTCTCTATTTCATTTTCACTCTCCATGAGATTGAACACGCTGCTTTAGCATCTTTAAAATGCAGCTGTAATTGTTCCGCCATATGTGTTGGGACTTGTGCTAATGAATGTGAAAGTGGGCCACGGTGGAGACGGCACTGGTGTGTGTTACTAGGCAGAATGTCCTTACTCCTCCAGCTGCCTTCCAGTTTTCAGATTTTAGCGACATGTACCTCGTGAAAATAGATGATGGCTTTTAATATAGATAAATTGACCTAATTTGAAGGAAACATGATCTGTTGATTCAAATTAAAGAGAAAATGTTATTCTAAACACAACTGGATCAGTCATTTGTAAAGAGGCTAATGTGTGTGACTCACATTAAACCTTATTCTCGTCTCTTAAACTACCTCCACCAGGCTTGTTTGTTTATTTGTTTGTTTTTTTAGCAGAATTAATATTTAATTGATTTCCATGCATTTTGGGTGACCCCAGGAATTACCCATAGCATTTTGGTGCAGATCAGGTTCACTCCCTGATCCAGCAATCTTCTTTTCACTTTTTTTAACAAAAATGTTTTTCAAAATGTTCTTGATTGTCAGAGAACAAATAACAGATTTTGTTAAAACATCTTTAGCAAACTGATATTTATGATTCTGTGTAATTTGGTGCAGATCCAAAAGAAAATGTGGATGTGGTGAATTAACATGTGGAACTGTTGGGAACTGTGCAAATCTATGTGTACATGATTAATTACATTTTGTTTATCATGTCAGTCCATGTTTAAAGTTTTAGCTTACGGTTTAACAACTGAACTATTAACCCAATGATATCACTAGTGATGAGTAAAGACTAACAAACAGCAACAGAAGCAAACATCGACACGACTCAGCACGTTCTTTTGTGTGTGTGTGTGTGTGTGTGTGTGTCCACTTCATGGGTGGACTTGATTGTTCAGAGTACATCAGGGGTGTGTGTTGTGTAGGTGTCTGCTTTTGTATTCTTGTTTAAAAATCTTGTCATAACACATTATTGTGTATTTGCGATATAAAAGGGTTTCATTTAACTACGGATTCAATGTTTTGTTAATTTCCTGCTGTGGTTTTAACAGGAATGTTGATCAAACACAGCCATGGTGGTTTTTATCTGCTCCTGTCTTTAACCTCAGGACTGTTGCACGTCTCTGTTTCACACTGTTCTCTTTCAGCTGGATTTTGTCTGGTATTAACCCAGATATAACACAGTAACAATAGACACAAGGAATTAAACAGCTTTATTAGCTTTGGTTCCTGGTACCTCCTGTGGGAAGTTTGCTGAGAATTAGCAGCCCCCGAAAGTGATACTCAACAAAAGAAAAAGTTTAAATTTAGCCCAATGCTCATACATTTATCTTTGTATCTCCCCCCCAGGGTAACTGCTGCTGTCATTGTCTGTGGCTCTAAATGTCCTCTGCCATGGCGAAGCGTGAGGCTGGAAGCACCAGCCCAGTGGTGCGTCAGATAGACAAGCAGTTCCTGGTCTGCAGCATCTGCCTGGATCACTACTGCAACCCCAAGGTCCTGCCCTGTCTGCACACCTTCTGTGAAAGGTAACCAACGTTTGTTGGCAAAAGGCCTAACTACACCTTCAGTTCCCTCAAGCTGAACCCGACACAAACACAAGTCCCTGCTCACGCCTGATTCACGAGGCATCGTATTTCTTCCGTCAGTTCTTCTGAAGGCAATATCTCGAGAAAAGTTCGAGGGGATTTCTCTAGATTCTGTACAAATGCTCAGTGATGAAATAATTAGGTTTTGGTGGTCAAAGGTCAAAGGTCAAGGTCTCTGTGACCTCTCAAAACATATTTTGGCCTTGTGAACGTGATATCTCAGGAACACCTTGAGAGAACTTCTTCAGATTTGGTGCACACGTTCAGTTGGACTCACAAATGAACTGATTGGAATTTGGAAGTCAGAGCTCAAAGTTCAAGGCCTCTGTCTTGTGAACGGTTTATCTTAAGAATGCCAAATCTCGCACGTAGGTGTACTCAGGTTCATAGATGAACTGATCTGATTGGCCAAAGATCACGGACACAGTGTCCTCACAAAACATGTTTTTTACCTTTTGAACATGATATCTCAATTGTACCTTTTGGAAATTTCTTCACATTTTGAATTAAAAAATGAATTGATTAGATTTTAATGCAGGTGTACAACCACAGGGCAGTAATTGTAGTTTCTTTTTTTTTAACTGCAGCTTTTTCCCTGTCAGTATCCTCCCATAGTTCTGAAGAATTCTTGTAATATTTACATGTCCCCTAATAGAAAAAACTCATCTATTGCAAATCCCCACCTACAATTAACCGGCTCAGAGTCCTTTACTCACTAACTCCACAGGAATAATTGCATTCCTCAGCATCACGGGCCGCCAACTGATTGAGGTCTGTCAGACAGCCCCATTGTACGGAGATACATTTAAAATACTTAAATTTGCAGTTCCTTAGAAAGATAACACCCCCCTCAGGCGATACTTACTGGGGCATTTCGTGCCAAGCAGGTAGAGGTAGAGTGGAGAGTATAACCAGGATTATGTTTCAGACTGATTTATGTCTAAACCCTACGATCAAACAAATATTTATGGAATAGTCTTGAATAGCGACACAAAGCATGAAGGACAAGTCTTTTCTCTCCATGCAATGAGAGGGGCATTTACCCACCAGAGGGCAGGTTTAATCCGGGGGTTTAACTGGATGACATGTGATCTGAAGCCCTGCTGAGGTGAACAGATTTTTGTCTGGAGCCGTGCATGATGTAGCCAGACAGATGTTTTAATGCTGGATGGGCTGATGTAGTTTTAGGGGTGTTAGGGCTGAGCTGGTAACCCCCTGCTGGGCCCCCTCTGTTTGGGGTGGTTGGTGTCACATTTAATCTTGCTCCTCTTTTCCTCTTTGTCATTGAGCACATGAGTGTTAGCTTCAGAAAGGTTTTGATGGTTTAGTAACTGTGAAAAAGGAGAAAGTTTCCTCTTTCATTCCCACTCGTCACCCTGAAAGTCTGGTCTTGTTCTATGTAACTTTGGTGTGTGGATACCATCTCCTGTGTGGAACTGATTGATAGTTGAAGCTTCAGGTCCAGCAAGATGCTGCTGGCTCAGGCCTTCGGGATTAGTAAAGTTCTATAGATGCAGTTGTATTTGTGTTTTTTTTAGTTAAGTAAAGTTTGTGATTAAACTGTAAAATAGTAAACATTTCCTTGTCATAACGGTTTGATCGACGGATATATCGGTATCTGAAATATATTTAGTTATTAATATTGGCCCCAAAAAAATCCACATCAGTCAGGCTCTACTAATAACTAATCACAAAACAATGCTAAGTACTTGCTCGTGTATATTTTATATATTCTTTAACTCGTGCATTTCTTTATCTCTCTCCCCAGTTGTCTCCAGAACTACATTCCCCCAGAGTCTCTGACGCTCTCGTGTCCAGTGTGTCGGCAGACGTCCATCTTGCCAGAGAAAGGAGTTTGTGCTTTACAGAACAACTTCTTCATCACTAATCTCATGGAGGTTTGAATCTTAATCCTTTTTTTTCTCTTTCAACTCAGACACAAATCTGTTCGCCCGACAGGATTTTCCAGTATGTTACAGAGGAAGAACCGTAGATTTAACCAATCATGAGATGGATGTCAAAGTAAAGAATATCAAAAAGTACTGAAAGAAGTGGGTCAGGGTGTTTTATGTGATCCTGGTGCTGTTGTAGTGAGAGCCACTCCTAGTGTTGAACAGAGAGAGCACATATTTTCAGAGTGAGCTCACTCTGGACAGTCCTGACTTCTTCATGAGGCTCTTTTTAGGATTTGTTTGCTTCTGCCCACTTCAGTTCTGGCTGGGGACTTTTATTGCATCTCATCAGTCAGCTGTCCACTACCAAATAAAGGAAAAGAATGGAGACCATAGCACACTGTACATAAGAACATAGATCAGTATCTTACTTAGTCATTAAAAATGTTGTTGTCCAGGTTCTTCAACGAGACCCGGAGTGCTCGCGGCCGGAGGCCTGCAGTGTCCTGGAGTCAGTGAGTGCTGCAGCTGCAGGGAAGCCGCTCTGCTGCCCGAACCACGAGGGAAAGGTGGGAAACTCATCACTTCACCAATGTCACCCCGCCTCTTTTATCTTTTGACCAATAATTCATCTAAAATAACCTTTTTCTTCCCCCTCCTGCAATCCCCAGCCAAAGAGAGTGAGCTCTATTTTTAAACTAAATGTCCCTCCCTCTGCAGGTGATGGAGTTCTACTGTGAATCATGTGAGACAGCCATGTGTCTGGACTGCACGGAGGCTGAGCACAGGGAGCACGTGACTGTTCCTCTGCGGGACGTGGTGGAGCAGCACAAGGCCGCACTGAAGACGCAGCTGGACGCAATACACAGCAGGTCGGGGCTCGATGCCTCCTTAAAGCTTTTAGACTTTATCCCTCACATCAGGTGTTTTGGAGCTGAGGTGTTTGGCTCTGATTTAGAATTTGCAATCAAACATCACTTATGCTGTGGTGTGCTGTGCCTGGCTTTTCAAAACTACTTTAAAAAAATGCCTGGATCCTTCCGCTGATCCGGATCTGCACCAAAATGTAATTTGTTTTTTCCTGGTCTGCATTACATCTTCCCACCAAGTTCCACGGTAATTCAATCTGTTGTTTTTGTGTTCTCCTCCAGGCTCCCTCAGCTTACAGCAGCCATCGAGCTGGTGAGTGAGATTTCTCGCCAGTTGAACGAGAGGAAGACTGAGGCGGTGGCAGAGATCACCAGTACATTCGAAGAGCTGGAGCGAGCGCTGCATCAGCGCAAGACGGCCCTCATCACAGACCTGGAGAACATCTGCACCACCAAGCAGAAGGTGGTGCTCTCACATACATGCACAAGCACATATTTGTGCACTTGCATGGTTGCACAGTCAGGGTCAAACACACATGTGAGATCTCTCACATTCCTGTCAGCCTCAGGACTTAATGAAAGACTCTATCATCTCTCCTCTCCCCTGTTTGTATCTTTGTATAAACAGCATTTCACCTGCCTCATCTCATCTTTTACTCTAACCTGTTCTCATCCTCTTTTCTCACTTACCTGAGTGCAGGTCCTGCAGGCGCAGCTTTCATCTCTCCTCCAGGGGAAGGAGCACATCCAGAGCAGCTGCAGCTTCACAGAGCAGGCCCTCAGCCACGGGAGCGCCACTGAGGTGGGCTGGCAGAGTGTAATTAGTATGACAGAGCTAGCAAACACTTTACAGCTCATCTGGGAATCCGCTATCAGATTTGATGCAGCTCTGAAACAGGATGTGAGGACAAACAATGTGATATCTGACTTAAAAACAGTTTTTGTTTCCTGCATGTGAAGGTGCTGCTGGTTCAGAAGCAGATGAGCGAGCGGGTGACAGCGCTGGCCCGACACGACTTTCCAGAGAGACCACATCAGAACGCACATCTGGACTGTCAGGTATCAACAGCTGCTTATTCAGATTCAAGTCGTTTCTCTGCTCTTTCCTCGTTGTCTCCTGACTGATTTTATTATCTGATCGTTTTATATCATTTTAAGCGCTGCCTCTGTCTAAGAGGTCTGGATAGAAAATGTATTGCTGGAGGTTTTGTTACCTTTTCATGCTCCTATTGAGGATGTGATGTTTTAGTTTGTTGTCTCTAATGATCTTAATTAAATAAGGATGGACTTCCATGAAGCCAAAATATCATGGATACACGTCGTCCATCTTTATACACGGTGTATGATCTCAACTTGTGGAACACTGTAGAATATACTATAGACATTAAAGCTATTCTAAGCAGAATTTGACATCCAGCAGACACAGAGCAAAATTAGCATCTAACCGCAGTCGTATCTTTTCACTCTCTGTTCATCTCTGATTTTCTGTCTGTAGAGAGCACAAAGGGTTTTTATGTTTTGCATTTGTAAAATATCACGTACATGTATCTTGTATGTAATGTGTCGCTCCAGGTGGAGACTGAAGGTCTGCGACGCTCCATCCAGAACCTGGGTGTTCTCCTCACCACAGCTGCTGTCGCCCACACCTCTGTTGCCACGGGAGAGGGGCTCCGCCACGCAGCAACCGGGCAGCATCACACCGTCACCGTGACAACGAAAGACAAGGTACAGTCTTCAAGTTGTTGAGGCTTAAAGTCATTTCCCACATGTGCAGAGGGAACCATGGAAAGATTGATAGGTAGCGGCTTTGAACTCACATTTCATGCAATGTTATTTGTTTGTTTTTGAAAGAAGTCCGTAATGTTCTGGTGGCATCACATGAGAATTATTCCTGTTGCTTGAACAAGATATCATCTCTGTTCTGAAATTGAATCAGTGACCTCTTCTTGCAGGATGGCGAGCTGGTGCGGACCGGAAATGCTGTTTTAAAAGCAGAGATAACGTCTGCTGATGGGAACCGAGCTGCAGAGACTGAGATAATGGACAATAAGAATGGAACGTACGAGGTGGGCTACACGATACGCTCCGAGGGAGAGTACTCCTTTGCCCTGCTGCTGTACGGCCAGCCGGTACGTGGCAGCCCGTTCCGCTTACGGGCCGTGAAGGCCTCAGATGTGCCACAGTCTCCGGATGACGTGAAGAGGAGGGTGAAGTCTCCCAGCGGGACGGGGGGCCACATACGGCAGAAAGCAGTGCGACGGCCCTCCAGCATGTACAGCACCACCAAGAAGAAGGAGAACCCCATTGAAGACGAGCTCATCTACAGAGTGGGTAAGAGAGGAGAGGAAGTTCATTTCAAACATAGGACTGTGAAATCTGAAAAACACAAAAATTACTCTTTTAAAGAAAGTCTATTTGTAACTTTGATGGGTTTATCTTATTCATTCCAGAAAAGAAATATATAAGATTGCTACAAACTCATTCACTCACTCAAAGATAGTTTGACACAAACAATGAAGGTGTAATTTTCTCTCAGGACAGAGTCAGTCTCAGCTGTCAATCATGTAGTTTCACTCTGTTTTTATGGAATCAAATAATTCATTAAAACCATTACCTGAAACATGAGCTCTTGAACAAACAAACTACTTATGACAGAAACTTTTTTTGATGTGTAGTTTTACTTTTTAGTTTGATCCTTGTCCTGTCTATAAACTGTACTGATAGGAAAACTCTCCAACACTCTCTCTCTCTCTCTCATACACAAACACACACACACACACACACACACACACACACACACACTCTCTCTCACACACACACACACACACACACACACACACACACACACACACACACAGATTAAGGTAGAGAGTGTGTAATTATTTGAGTAATTAAATTGCCAGGCTCACGGGGCAGAGAGAAAGGAGAGTTCACCAACCTGCAGGGAATCTCAGCCTCCAGCAACGGCAGAGTCGTGGTGGCTGACAGCAACAACCAGTGCATCCAGGTGAGACACACACACACACACACACACACACACACACACACACACAGAGGAGAAGATGTGTGTCTGTGCTCATGTTGGAAAAGAAAATCCTGTCGCTCATTTGCTTCCCAACGGAATTGATTTTACAGATTTTCTCCAACGACGGTCAATTCAAGATGCGCTTCGGGGTCAGAGGTCGGTCTCCAGGGCAACTGCAGAGGCCGACGGGTGTCACTGTGGACATGAACGGGGACATTGTGGTGGCCGACTATGACAATCGATGGGTCAGCATCTTCTCCTCTGACGGCAAGTTCAAGGTGAGATCACAGTACTTATTTAAAGACAGTTCGCATTTCTTTGGTGAAACATATGATAATAATAATAATGTTTAGAGATAAAGATGGTTTAAAAATCCTCTCAACGTGTTTCATGTCTTTCTTTACCTGCTAAAATGTTCCTTTGCAGAATAAGATCGGTGCGGGCCGGCTCATGGGTCCTAAAGGTGTCGCTGTGGATAAGAATGGACACATCATCACCGTGGACAACAAGGCCTGCTGCGTCTTCATCTTTCAGTCCAATGGGAAACTTGTGACTAAGTTCGGGGGCAGAGGGACGGCGGACAGACAGTTCGCAGGTGAGGAGGCGTTAACACGTAACAGCAGACGTCTTTTAATACAGACAGGGAGCTCAGGAGCTAGGTCTTCTTTTTCAAAGTAAAACTGTGCAACTTTTACTGAGCAACAGCGCCCTCTGCAGCCACATGGGGTGATTCATTCGGTTGGGCTCCATGTCCGAGCAAAGATGAGGTTTTCATTTAAAGATAAAACTCTGCGTGGTCACGAAACTGAAACAGTAACCCCTTACCCATGATTCCCGGCTTCCTGAACCAGAAAAGATTTTATGGTAAAAGTTGCATAGAGTTGCTTCATGTTGAATTTATTTATATGATAACAGAGAATATTGCATGGATGCTATACATTGTGGAGATTAAAGTATAAGCCCTGACTGTGATCTCTGACTAACGAGGATGCAGCAGAAAGTATTAAGAACATTTACAGTAGTTTGCTTCTACCTCTCTTATATAAAAATATTAGCTGTGTCTAAGAAAGAAAACAAGCAGCGATGCACAATCTGTCCAGCTGAGAAGACTCATCTAAATATTAAATTCTCCACTTGGTTCTTTGGTTTCTAGACTGATGTGTTACATTACATTATGTATGATTTGTTTTGGAAGCCTGTATTTATGCCCCAGGTGACGCACCGAGCCCCTGCTCCCCCAACACAAACTGTGCCTGTGCTCACCACCCTTCTCTATTTGACTTCTTTGCTTTCTTTTATTTATTTTTTGTTTATCTCTGACGACCTATTTTTTTCTTTCTTTCTTTCTTTCTTTCTTTCTGTTCTTCCTTCTGTTTTCCGATTCAGAAAAACTTGGCCCAAACTTTAATAAATCTGGCTCAGTGTTCAGTAAGTACTAAGTGTGGCCTTGCTGCAACCTTAATCCCACAGTGCGGTGCCCTGTGCCTAACCCGACTCCCTGATTCTGTGTCTCACCTCCTGAAAACTGTTGACAAACTGTCGGATCCAGCTGTGCCTGTGCAAAACTGATCAAACATACGGAGGACATTGTAATAATCACTTCTATTACAATAACGGACATTTTGTCACATGCATTGTGTTTGTTGTGTAAATGGATGTAAAACGATCAGTGTGTGATTTTTCACTGCTCTGACTTAACCAGTGTTTGCTATAAGACAATCAGTGTTATGAGTGAGGGCCCAGTCACACGTACGCAAATGTGTCAGTGGTGAACCTTCGCTTCCTGTTCACGTCCAATCGGGGCGAGCGAGGAGGTGAATAAAACATCTGCTTCCTGCTTTGACCTGCAGTATTCATTTTGCATTTGTGTGACCGGGCCCTTACACTGTTGGTCTCAGACAAAGGTTTTCACTTTAGATAAATAAGTATAAAAAAAATTTTGTAGACGATTCTATTTTTTTACTTTTTAAATCTATTATTTTCAAATTCTACATATTTGGTTGAATTTGCATTTTCTTGGTTTTATAGTTAGATATTATAATGAGATATTATAAGTTCATAGTATTGATATAGATTTTTTTTTTATAAAGTTCATGGTTAAATGTTTTTAAGCCTCAATTACATTCTTTGTCAAAAAGGTTTAATAGTGACATCTTAGAAATCAGTATTTGTTTTATATACTTCCGCCAATTTATCAGATACTTGGAATTGTTTACTCCCTAATATCGTTGTAGACAACTTTTAACAAAAAACGTTTCGGAATCTATAACCTTCAGGACTTTTGTAGCTAAACTTAAATCATTTAATGTGTTAAAAACATTCCAACAGACAAAATCAGAGGAGCTTCAAACGTCGTGATTTCAGCTTTAGGCTCAATCAGTTGAAATGTAACAGCCCACTAACAGTTAATGAAGAAAACCACATGGATCAGCTCAAAACCACAGCAACTTCAACACTGACCCGTTTCTCTCTCTTCACTCAGGTCCTCACTTTGTCGCAGTGAACAACAAAAATGAAATTATCGTGACTGATTTCCACAATCACTCTGTGAAGGTGAGACTTTCAAGAGAAAACTATGTCTCGGAACTTTTTGAAAGCATAAAAGATTTGTTTTGACTCGTTTAGATGCTTGTGTATTATCTGTATATTTTACAGTGAGCGTTGACATAACTTGTTCCTCCCTGACTTCCTGTCGCAGGTTTACAGTGCAGATGGAGAGTTCTTGTTTAAATTCGGTTCTCACGGTGAAGGAAACGGTCAGTTCAACGCTCCCACCGGTGTGGCTGTGGACGCCAACGGGAACATCATTGTTGCTGACTGGGGAAACAGCAGAATACAGGTGAGGGCACATTTAGGAGCTTGATCATCAGTCCAGCAACAGTCGAGCTATTTAATTCACAGCAACCTTGAAAGATCTGAGTATTCTATAGTTCTATGTGTTTTGTGTTTGTGTTCAGGTGTTTGACAGCACAGGCTCCTTCTTATCCTACATCAACACATCAGCAGACCCACTGTATGGGCCCCAGGGCCTCGCTCTCACCTCAGACGGACACGTGGCTGTCGCTGACTCGGGCAACCACTGCTTTAAGGTTTACAGATATCTGCAGTGAGCTGAGGGAGGACACACACTGTTCAACTGCTCTTCAGACAGGTTCATGTTACACACACTGCTCGTGGACATCGAGCTGCGATCCTCGGTTCCTCCAATTGAATTCCTTTTGCAAACATTCAAAGATTTAATATTCAGAGATGAAAACAAAGATATCTGAGAAAAACATTGAAAACACTACAAATCCCAAAACTTTGTAAAATAAGGGTCTTTTTAAAGACCAGTAATTCCCCAAAAATATTGTAAAAAGTTAAATTAGTTCCCTATTTCTGAGAAAGACTTCTGGTAAAACAACGTTTAAAGGAAATAAAAGTTCATGTTCAACTCAGGCACTTATTATTTGACAACCGAAGTGGAAATTGACCTCTGGAACCAGATGTTTCAGATCTATGTCTCATGAGTGTGACCTCACCAGTCGACAGCCTGACAGTTTTTAAAGTTGGTGATACACTGCAATTTTTTGGGGCAAAGCAGACGCGCAACTCTCCCAGCGACCAGCAAGAGAAGTGAGGCGAAGGTCATCTCTGTGTCCCGGTGAAGAGTCGCTGCTCGGGCCTCTTCTGGAACACTGTTGCACGTCAGTTCGCTCCAAAAAATTACCCGTGGTCACTGCCTTACAGTTTCCAATCCTCACAACAGAACTCGCGCAGTACGACGGAGTATTAGGGCCACTTAAAGAAAAGAAAATCGGAGATATCCAGAATAAAGATCAAATGTTACGTGGAAATGATAAATATTATGAAGTGGAAATTTGTAATTTAAGTCAAGAATTAAATCAAAATTTGACGAAAAAAACTATTGCAACTTTATTCTTCATAAATGAACCTATTTTTTCTTGTGAACTATGACTTGATTTTCCGACTCTCTGATATTTCTTTCCCTTTGAGTGGTCGTAATACTCCGGGGTACACACAGACAGGAATGTGTTGATTTAAAGACATCGTTTCTTGTTCTCATTCTGCACCTTATCAATATTTCTGTTTGTTACCAACATGTATATGCAAGTTTTTGTTGTTGTTGTTGTTTGGGTATCCAAAGAGAAGCATCAAGAAGCACAACAGGTAATAGAACAAAAACTGATCTGGTTCCTTCACAACTCATTTATCTTTATATCAACCAAAACAAACTTCTCATATCTGACCCCACCACTTCTTGCACTTTTTGCATATTCATATCTACAACCTGACGTCGTTGTACATATGCATATTTAGATGTATATCTGGATTTGATGTCCATGTTATTTCACTATATAGCCAACTTATTCCAGCACTAAATGCATCAAGGATTTCAACACTGGAGTATTTACTAATACGCTAGAACGTCACGCCAAGTAGTAGCCAACTAAATGACCTGCAAACATCAACGGAACAATGTTGTATACACGTTATTTTGCTGTGTTTTCATTTTTTTTTTCCAAAGGACTTAATTTATTTATAATTTTCTTTTCTACATAATTTGTTCAACAAATTATTTTTCTAATCGGTGCATTTTGAGCTGTCTCCTCTTTGCCAAAACGTTGTTGTGCATAGGCCTCGTAACTTGAAGCACTGAAAGCCCTTCTCTGATTCTGCCTCTTCTTAAAGTGAGCTCACAGCCAGAGATAGACTGTAAAAAATAAGATGGACGACGCGTCTCCACTTCCTTCTAGTATCCAGAAATGAAGCCCAAACATCAAACTCAAAACATCAGTGTGATAAGAACTACTTAAAAATGGCAGAAACCATTTTTGAGAATTTCTTTTTTGGACCTTTATTAGATTTTAATTAAATTTATAACCTATACTGCAGCCAGCCACCGGGGGCTGGGCAAAATGCTTTGGCTTCACTTTTGGGGGAGCTTAAATATTGTCCATCTTTATATACAGTCTATATAAATCTAACTAGAACATTTCCTTCAGCCGAAAACACGTTTGTTGTACGTTGTTGTTGAACATTGCACAAACACAAATATTATAAGAGTTATATATAGTTTGCAAGAGTAATATATGCCTCTGTGTAGTTATCATTGAACATAATCTGAAAGTGTACTGTGTATTACAAGCATATTCTTGTTGTAGCTGACAGGCACATTTTTCATGAACTTTTCCAGTAGTTGCTTTGTAGTTCAAGGTTTTTTCTGTGACTCCAAGAGAAACACAACACCAGCTAACACACAGTGACGTAGTTTTTAACAAAACTTGTTTTATAATTAAACTGTGCCTGATCATTGATCTGTGATCCATCCTGTCGTTCCATCTGTTTTTCCTACTTACTGGAAAATTGGGTTTTATTTTTTACTGGCTCTGTGTAAAGTTACAGACGCACATGTTCTCTTTAAAAAATAAGATTGTATAATACCAATTTAAAAAGAAACTGATTTTCTGATACCGGCAAACTGTTTTTTTCAAATCAAATTTATCCACTGTATAAATATAACTTAACTATAATTTGAACAAACTTAGTTCATTTGTGTGTTTGATCAATATCATCAAATTCACTTTTCTTTTTAGTCAGTCCAACAATTTTTCTTTTTTCCGATGTAATTTCAACACTGCATTAACCATGTCGTGTTGTCCTGCTGTAAACTACAAGAGGCCAGTCTTACAAAGAACTAATCACTATGTAATCATGGCAAAGGTATAATTGTAAATATTAAAGAATATTAAAGAACCAACTGTTGTGTAAATGGTCTGTTTTATATAACTACACTTAAGTTCATTAATTCTTTTGTGGAAGTGTTAAAAATTCTTTGGGAAATCAGGTGAATTTTTCTTTTTCTGCAGGACGATATATCAGCACGGCTGTGTTTCTCCTTTGTAATACAGGAATCTGCATATTCAGAATTTTTTGTTTCTTGGTTATTTGAAATAACTGTTAAATTTGCTGAACGCTCTGGGTTACACGCTGTAGGAAATGTCCAGGTAATGGAGGCTTTCCAGTGGCATGGTTATGCATTTCTGCATCGTCAGATTGTTCAAAGGAATTTTGATTTACTTAAAAGTTTGAATTTGAAACTTAAAAATTCCTCCTCCCTATAATTTTTCTCTGATTTTGCAGAATTGCCAATAATCTTTATTTCACATATATCACTTCAAAAGACAAATGTCTCCTTCTTTGGGGACAGCTATCTGAAGCTAAACCCAATGGGTAGAAAGAGACGGATATTCAGTTTCTGTTACATGGGGGCAGAGAGGATGACATACAATTTAAGGTGCGGCTATTGTTCAACTATTTGTTTCCTCTGTTGAGGGTGTGCTGAACATGAAAAGCAAGAGATGAGAAAACAGGAAACCACAACCCTCTTACACTATAGATAGCCTGGCCACTGCAGGCAGTTTGAGCATTTCTGATGTAGTTTAGGATGGAAACAAATGAGTCTTCTTTAGGAGCGTCACATATAAAGCTTAGGAGTGAAATTTGAGGGGAAGGCTTGAACAGATTAAAAGCTTTAAAACTGGGATACAAATGAACACCTTTGTCTTCTTTTAAAACCAACTGCAAACTGAGAAACAAAGCACAGTAAAAGCAGGAAACAGCCAAAAACAGGAATAACAAGATCATTTTTTATGTCATTTGTCAAGACGTCTCAAAAACTGCTTCGCTGTACACATGGATGAGAAAAGCAACCAAATGTAATGTACAGGTATGAAATGATGTTCACCATCTTAGACAAAACAAACAAAAAACAAGCATCTTGAGATCGATGGCACGCCGTCTCAAATTTTATCACTGATCCTGTTAAATGTTTCTACTCTGCCCTGCAATAAAAGCTTTGGCAAACTGCACAAGCAAGAAAATATGTAAAACGTACATTTAAGAGAGAAAGGACAAATATTTATACAACTGTCCAAATACAAGTATTTTACATTCAATTTGAATAAAATGGCCAACTCGTCAAAACAACTGAAGCAGGATTATTTAACGGAATATAAAATAAACGCTGTTGCGGCTCATGGATGTGATGGAATGTTTTTATACAGTAAGACATATCTACGGGTTCGACCACTTAAATATGTACGGGCATATGTAGCTGATTAACTACATTAATGATGGCTAATAATTGGTCACAAGAATATTTGAAAATATTGGCTTTGCACTTGCTCACTTTCGAGCAGATCCAGTGGAAAAACTCCAACAAAGCCAATTGTATTGTTCGTATATCTGCTCACAAACCCTCAGAGCAATTATAAAGAGAAATTTGCAACAGTCATAAGAGAATGTACAGAATTATAAAAAAAAAATAAGGACAGGTAAAGTTTTAAAAGATAAAATTATCTGTACTGGAGTTAAAATCCACGAAACAACCTGAGCCATTAGTTTCTGGAAGTCAAATCAGTGTCCGAGAGCTGAGATTGTGACCAAATCGAGTCACTGAAATCTGGTGGTCATCAGCTCCGACTGTTCTTCAGTCTAGAACTAATGAGGGAGTCAACAAGTATCAATGTGATAACGAGGCCATGTTTCCTTACAGGTCTAACCAACAAGGCCGGAGCTCGGACCCTGTCCAACAAAAACGTTTATGTACAATAATGTAGCATAGCGGTTGCTAACAGGATCGGAGCCGTGCTCCAATCAACAGGAGCATCTGTATCCCAAAAGACACAGTGATATAGACAACAAAGCACCTCTCCTAACACCCAGCCACAGTAGTCAGGGTTATGAGCCTACAGTGTGTGTCTAAACCTTTGCAACTTGCCAACAGCAAATCTGGAAACACAGGCGTACACGAATTGACGCTTAAACAATTCATTTAAAAGCCTCGCTGCAGCTCTCTCAGTAATAGTGGCATATCTGCAGCCTGCTGCCTGGATCGTTTTTCCCTGGGCTGAAGAAAGGGCTGACTGCTTCCTCAAAGCAGGTGTCAAACATGTAAAGTCTCTTCATTGTGACGCCGTCGTAGAAGCTAAGGCGCCCTTTGTCGTAGTCTAGAAAGACACCGACCCGGGGAGAGTCCCAGTAGTCTGCCACCGGGATGCGTCCGTCTTCATCGTTGGCGTACAGCCGGTCCTGCAGACACAGACTCCAGTATCCTGCGGAGGGTGTGAGGTTGACAAAGCCCTTCCTGTTGCTGCTCTGAGTGGTGACTCCCAGGTACCACACGCCTTTGTCCCTCACATCCACCTCCCAGTAGTGCTGGCCACTGGAGTACTGGGCTATGGCCAGCACGCCACAGAAGCGGCTGAAGCGGCCGGGCGTCTCTGGGTCCTGGTTACGAACATGGCCCTCCTCCACTTTGGTGTCAAAGTCTGAGATGATCAGGTATGGGTGAGCGGTGTCGGGGTCCAAAGTGAGGTTCTGAGGCACTAAAGAGAAACAGCGAGAGGTTAATTCATCTTACTAGTACGCTGGGCTTAGGCCTGAAGTAAATCTGAAGCCCAAACACTACAGAGTCACCCAGTAACCTGCATTTCTTTTGAGTGTGTGGAAAAGTGCAGCACCTGGAGCAAACCTAGACAAGAATTAAATATTTAACTACACTTAACATCAGTCTACAGGAACATCTTCACTGTGCCCAGTGTGTGAAACTCACTGGTGTGCAGAACATGCATCATCTTCTTCCACAAGATAAGCTGGATGGGCCCTGAGTATTTTGGATATCCAGTATTCACACCAAGAACTGCGGGGGTAAGCGGAGGGTCTCGGTGGGCGACTCTGGGAAGGGAGGCAGCAATGTGACAAAACAAATGTTAATTTGTAAATAAAAATAAAGGATTTCATAGGTTCAAATTAATAATTTTTAGCCACTTACTCATTCCATGTCTCAGCAAGGCTCTGTTGGAAGAAAAACATATTTTGATTTGAAAATGTTTCCAAGAAACACAAGCCAGTCCAGTTGCGTACATCCACTTTCACAACTTCTGAAGAGACCATGAACTAGATGACTGAGAATCTTCAGAAACTTAAGTAATTACACAAAACAATTTCAGATTCAGTGTGAAGTCGCACTGACCTCAAAGCTCGTTTTCCCACCGATGTGGCTGTGGATATCCGCTATGATTTTGTCCAAAGCTGTCCCTTCTTCCTTCAGTGTATTCAAGTTTTCATCCAACAGTGACACGGCGGCCTCCGCCTGACCATCCAGGCCCTCGAGCAGGGAGTCTCGCTCATCTAGCAGGAACTGGACCATGGCACCGATATCTGCCTCAATCTTCTCCTTGATTCTCCGTTTGTTGACCTTTGAAATAGAGGTTCAAAGGGTTAGCAAAACAGATTTGAACATAGTGCAAGTTCATAGACAACTTTCCTGTTCAATGTTTTCCCTAATATTTGCAAAGACCACTTCATGAAGCTTAATCGCGCATCTAAGATGGATTCCACTTTGTTGTTAACATTCAAGTTTACTTGAATTAAATTCAAAAGTTCCAGATGATTTAACCTTGAATCAAACACTCCACAGGTTTGCACCACAAATACTGTCTGTGAACTTTAGCAGCGAAAACCAAAAAAAGGCCCATCCTTACCAGTGCTTCATCTTTGTTTAGCGCTTCAGCTGTTATAACGTCCATACACAGAGACTTCTCCCAGTTGAGCTCCATTAGCCTCTGCTTTAACTCCATCTGTTATAAAACATCATCAAGACACATGCACATTATGTCAGAATATGATCAATCATATTGAAAACCCAATAGATGTTAGATGCACTGAAGAAAACAACTGATCTCTTTGCCAACTTACCCTCATATCATTTGCAACTTCTGGCACTGGTGCCACCTCATGGTGTCTGAAACGAAACAAACGGACAACTAGTTAGTTTCCAGAGCAGCGTGTCACACACAAAAAAACAGTAGAAACAGCATTTCACTCCTCATGAAAACAGACTTGTGTTTACAGCCTTCTTCATCACTGCCTCTGGTGCTGTATTGCTACATTTGCTGGTGTAGGCTGAAGGTCATGGTCCTTGCTGGGTGTATTTAAACCTGTAGAAAACGTACTTGTCCAAATAAGGATATTGTTTGTTTGAGGATGACAACAATACCCAAACATACATGAGGGAAAGTTCTGTTTATCAAATTATGAAAACACATAACCATTTATATAGCACTTCTCAAAACAAAGTTACAAAGTGCCTTACAAATAAAAAAATTCTATAATACATTCAAACTAAAAGTACAGAATGAAAACACTAAATATGTGGCTGAATTTTTTTGCACGACCTAATTCAGTAATAAAAAGTAGAATTAGGTAAAATCGGGGACTGTGCTTGTGGGATAATAAAAGTATGTTTTAGCTTTAATTTAAAAAAGGAAGATACTGATTCAACCTGCCGTATTTCCTTAGGCAGTGTTCCAGAGCCTCAGAGTTTTTTTTAAAAAAGCTCTGTGCCACTTGTTCTTAAACCCAGAATCTGGAACATGATTTGAGCTTGAGATCAGCTTGTTTCACTGTTAAAAATCCAGAAGACTGATTTAAAAAATCCTAACACAGTTAAAACATATTGTTAAGAACAACAGAAATTTAAAAGGTACATGTTAAAGTAGATGAATGATTATTTTTTAGGGAGAACTTTTGGTGGACAAAGTTCACAGGCACACAATGTTTAATTCATGCAAAAGAAAAGAAGACGACCTCGTTCCTTGTGTCCCTGATGGGCACAAGTTTACTGTTTACTCAACCATAGGCTTGGTTTATCATCTTTTCTGATTAGGGTCTGTGCTACGGCCTTGATTGCTATGGCAACTGCCATTAGGGACTGCCAGCTAGACTCAGTGTTTACATAGCCATTCCTGAAACTCTTGCTTTTGGGAAATTCTTAGTGACAAGGTTTACACACAAGAATTTGCAAGAAATACATTTTTCAGAGTAAACTAACAGGTCTGTAGCATCCCTATATAAAAAGGTGAATACACGACCGACCTGTGTGCTCTAGATTCCCGGCACACAACACAGATAAGCCTTTTGTCAGTCTGGCAATAGAGTTTCAGCTCTTCTCCATGTTGTTCACACTTCCCATCAACTTTGACGGGCTGAGGGGGTGAAGAACTGGACCCCAGACACTCCAGGTCGTCCAGTTTGGCCACCAGGTTCTGCACCAGGTAGTTTTTAGTGAAGGTCCTCTTGTTGAACACCTGTAAGAACAACAAAAAAAGCAACTGAGAAAGAGGAAGTCTGTGATCATGCAGTTTTATTCAGTGTGTGTTTATTGTCCATGACAACATCTCTCTTCTGTAGCTAAAAAACTCAAACACAGCTACCCTATGTGCTGCAACATTCCAGCAAGCTAACAGCAGCTAGCAGCAGTGGCTACAAACAATCCCATCCAGATGTGTTACACCTGTGTACGACCAAACATGTGACTTCCCCCCCTTCCCAAGAAAATGTGTTTGCCAAAATGTTCCCATCGAAGAGTTTTGGAACCATTGCTCTTGATCGCCCAAATTCCAGATAACCGTGTTTTTACCTGCTGCTACATTTTAGCTAGCTAACGCCAGCTAGCAGCAGTGGCTGCAAACAATCCCATCCAGATACGTTCCACATGTTTTTGAGAATGCACGTCTTCCCCTTCACGTTAAAATGTCTCCATTTCCTTTATTTTCAATGGCGTTTTTAACCTGCTGCTAGCTGACGTTAGCTAGCAGCAGTGGGTGCAAACAAGTCACACAAGTTTGACAAATCACGTGTCTTGACCCCTTCTAATAAAAAATGTCTCCGTTTCCTTAACTTTCTCAATTTATCTAAAACTGCTGTCAATTGACCAACCTGCCAATCAATAGAGTTTTTACCTGCTGCTACAGTTTAGCTAGCTAATGTCAGCTAGTAGCAGTGGCTGCAAAATAAAAATGGGTTGCTGATATCAACAGACAACAGACTCGGGCACTTTGAATCAGTCGATTGTGTGTGTGTCTGTGTCTGTGTGCGTGTCTGTGTGTCTGTGTGTGTCTGTCTCTGGACGGCAGCAACACACTGAGTGAAGACAAGCAGAGCAGCAACGCACCGTTCGGCACTGGGGGCACTGGTAACCGTAGTCTCCGCCATTTTCGTCCCAGTGCATGCAGATGCAGAAGCGACAGAAGTTGTGGCCGCACTTCAGGATGACGGGGTCCTTGAAATAATCCAAACAGATCGCACATGTGAGCTCCTTCTTCCAGTCGTCAGCAGCTCCGGCGGTCGCCATGTTCACGGGCCAGCAGCAGCACAGCAGACTGCAGGAAGTGAGGGCGGAAGTAGTGCAGCGGCCACATTTGTGCTACGTCATCTCCCCTCTCAGCCAATCAGAGTCGTCCCTCTCTCCCTCCTGCTCAGCGGGCGATACCATCACGGTGGGGTTCGAACCAATAACAAATAATACAACTCACATTTTCCACCATTTTTTATATCGCACATATATTGATTATTGGTTTGACAAAAAATCTATATTTAATTTCTATGTTTAGCTTTTTCACTTATTGCTCTTGTACTTTCAGTTCCTGTCTTCCTCTTCCTCCTTGATCAGTGATGTCTCCATGTTTTTCTACTTAATATGCGTGGAACAACAAAGCCAAATCCTTTTATGTTCAAAATCTACTTGTCAAGAGACACAATCCTGATTCTGATCTCAGGTCTCAATCTTAAAAACTTATTTTTGAGTCGGAGTCACATTCCAGGTCTTTACTCAGTAAAATCAGCAAATCCCGACCAGTAAGCAACAATATTTATTCTTAAATACATATACATAAAAACCCATTCATAAAAAGACACAAAGTGATTATCAAGTTTGACTGTTTGTGCTAAAATGTTCATATACATGGGGATAACTGGCTGTGGGTTATACACTACATTGCATAGCTTGGATTGGCATGTGTGAGGGATGTGGCTCAAAAAGTGCATTTGATGTCAGATATGGTGTCATTTCCAAATTCATCAGGGTGAAAATAATACGAATTCACACTCTTTAAGCTGTATGCACCCGTCCATCCCTCACACTGATTCATACCACAGATGACGTTCATCACATCAGATACGACCCTGATAAACATTGGAAACAAGTACATGACTCACAACACCATCATAAGACAGATATTTAGGAACACTGATCCCAGCTTGTTGTATATTCAAAGCAGAGTAAGACACAGGTTTCAACAACACAGAAATCTAACCAGTGACATTGATGAAAATAACGAGAGAGCAGATTATATGAAATGCCCTAAATGTAACATTTCTAATGGCGACACACTGATCTGTAAGAAGCTGTTGTTGTTTGCATCCCTTGTTCGAACAAACATGAGTCAGCACAGTGAAAACCCACACAGCACGAGTGACAGAAATAAAGCACAGGAACATAGTTTGAGAGAAACGGGTCAAATCATTGCATGTGAATTCAGTATTTGCTTGTTCACGGCACCACACTTAAGAGCAGTGAAACAGAAGTGGCTCCACAGAGCTTTTTAATAAGAACACAAAGTCCATTCTCTGAAAAATAAATAACTCCTGAGATGAGTGTCTCATATGTATGTGTCCAGTGTTATTTATGCCCAGAAGTATTTTAGATTTTTTTACAAAAGACACAACATGAGAAAAAAAAGGTGTGAAGAACCAACTCAGCAGCTACAGAAATGGTTGACACATCACAGAAGGAATTTCCTCATTTTATGGGCACCAAAATGAACAGTAAACATGTTGGATGAATAAACTATTCAGCTGGTTAAATTCTGACAGCAGTGGTTTTTATCTCCAGTCGTCTGATATGAGAGTCATGCAGGTTTCCTTCACAGATTGTGTTTATTCATTATCTTTACTGTGATATCCAGTGTGAACGTCCCAATATTCCAGGACAAAATATTAGACCTAAAGGCACAGTTCAGCCCGGGATGAAGATTAATCTACTCATGCAGCATATTTAAAAAAATTCTGGAGCCAAATATTTAGGTTCAATGTTTCTAATCAGTCCAATCTTTGTCTTTCAGCTAATATAGTCCTTGCATGGATGGATTTGAATTAACATTGAGGACAGTAAACACAGATTATTGTGTAAATAAAAGACGTTTGCATCCAATTGTAAAATGCAAAGATCCAATTTATTGTTCGCAATCTGTCTAAATGCTGTCCTGGTTTGCAGTGATGTTTTAAAGAGTTGCACAGTAGTTTTGTCAATAACATCTGAATGTTCTTTTTCAGTTCTCTCAGTGTGAACGTTGACATCACTTTGTGACAATTACCCAGGATTCAAATGCCACACTACATCTGTGACTGTGTGACACAAGCTGCTCTCTGTGACTCACACTGTCCTGAAGGGTCATAGCTGCTTCAGGCACTTTAACCATAAAGCCAGTTAGAGAGAATTGAAATCCCACGCTACCACTACAAGTACAAGTTGGAATGTTAAGTTAAGTGAATCGGACAGTGTGTAGTACTGGTTTCTGTGCTGGAATCAAGGTGCATAAGGGATCCAATACTGTAGAAACCCCCCCACTAACAGGCACGCGCACACTCACACCCAATAACGCATATGATCACTCTCAGATTTTTGGTGTTATGAAAGTAATTTAATATCAGTTAAAAAGAAAAAAAAAAGAAAATCCAAAAGTTTTTATAAAAGCTCCCTCATCCCTTTGTCCATCTGTCCATCCACATATCCGCTGCTCAGACCTCTGAGCTGTTGTGGCAGTCTTGCATCCTCACCACCAACATGGGCTCCGTGCTCACAGACCCTTTCACCACCTCCTGCACCCCCTCCCTCCATCCCTCCTTCACATCCTTCTGTCTGGATCGCAGCACGAGTACGACAGTGACCACGATGAGCACAGTCAGCAGCACGCCCACCAGCGCCCCCACCACTGTCACCAGACCCTCCTCTTCCTCCTCTGCGTTCAGCTCACTCGGTTCCAGCCCGTTGGCGAACATCTCGTTCAGCCCTGCCGCCCGCCTCTTGGTGCGGTCCAAAGCAATATGCATGATGTTGGTACCCCGGTTGTTGTCAGCTCCGATATCCTCAGTGACCTCTGGGACCTCATCGCCAGCTGATCTCCTGGAGCGGTGACCTTTGACACTGGAGGTGAGGTCGTTGCTCGAGGAAACCAAGGAGTGGTACTCGAGGCTGCGCTTCCCGATTCCTCTGTTAGCGCTCGCTTTGGATCGGACTGTGTAGATGGTGTGAATGAACCACTCGCGACCTGCAGCAACCTGAGGAACACAAAAAAATCATGAAGACTGATGTTCAATTCACAAAACTAGAGCAGTCACTGCTTTTTGAAGTAATTGTTTATGAGGAAAAATTAAATACAGGATACCTGAAACATGGCTGTAGAGTCCAGTCTGAAGCCATCAGACCCCGGCTGTCTGACGAGGGACATGGCTGACGGATCATCCACTGCCAGCACAGCGTTAAAACTCACGTCACCAAACACACGGGCCTGAGTCTCTGGCTGAGCCTTGTCCTAATGACGTGTGTTAGAAAGTAGGGAAATTATATTTTTGCTGTAAAATACTATTTTTCCATCTCTCAGTGCATTGAACCACTTAAAAATACTTACAAGAATCTTGAATCTATAAAGCAGTGACGGAGAATCAGCCAGGCAGCCAAATTCAAACTTGGTGGGATTGTACTTGGGAACGTATCCATCAGCTCCGGTGCAAAGGAAAACCTTCTCTATGCTGCAGAAGAAAGAGTCTCCCAGGTTCTGCACAGGGTCGACCATCACACGACCGTAGACCGTATCACCTGAAACAAAGGATGAGTCACATCAATATATAAAAAGAGATAGAAACAAAAATCCATACACAGAACATCACTGCTAACCAATGCCCACATCTTTACATATTAATTCTTAGATAAATTTTCTTCCTGTGCTTTACTATCTAATATGTATGAATGAAACAAAAACGACCAAATTAATTGAATCGTTTCAAACATAATGTTAATGTATATTTGGTCTTCCAGTAAAATGTAATGCCTTCAGACTTGAATTTCAGATTTAAATACCGCGAGACAATGTAGTGTCAGCTGATATAATGGTCACTGTAAACATCAACTCAAATTAACAGCTTCAAAAAGTGATATCAAGCTAATTTCCACATGTAGAGAATGGGACAAAAACATCTACAGACACTAGAGGAGTTCTTTGTTAATCTTCCCTGAAATGATCACAGCGGAGATGATTCCGTTTTTAAGCTTGTCAGAGACACTCACCCTCAGAAAAGGCTACGTCGCTCTCCTGACCGAAACCTGTGGAGCCATCGGAGAGCCACAGACTTCTCTTCGACAACAAGAACAACTGAGTGTTCAAACTGAATTCTACTGCAACCGGGTCGCTCACCTGGAGAGGGACGGACACAGTTAGCGAGGGATAGCATTGCTACTAAAGAGAGACAGAATTACTGATGCAGAGAGAGTGAAACGAAGAATAACATTTCTGGATCTTAAAGTCTAAACTGAGTCCGTCTTACTTGCTGGAACCTGATGTCGAGGTCGAAGGTGACTGGTTCTCTGGGACTGCAAACAGGTGGAACAGTGTATTCCATATTCTGTGCTGTCGTACAGGGGATCAGCTTCACTGTGTAAGTCCCGGAGTAATCTCTCACCTGTGTGGAGCAGAGAAGACACACAAGCGTGAGACTGTCTCCGTCCAGGTGTTTTCACACCACACAAATAAATAAATAATGCAGCCATACTTACAGCAAAGTCTGACGTGAACGTCCACTGCTGGACAGGCTGGTTGTAGGTGGGCTCACTCCTCACTAATGTGAGGTTAAAGGTCAGGCCCGGGTGGTCCACACTCATCACCATGGACAACATGGAGGTTCCTGGTTAACAGACATTGAGAGGAGGACAAGTTCATAAAGACTGCTTCATAAAAAAGTGTTAAAATCAATGAAACTGGTCATTTTTCTGTATCTTCAGTCTCACCAGCTCTTTTTATTCTGCCTCCAGAGTGAGACTCCAAAAACAGACCCCTGAAACGAGCCTTGGTGCGGAAGTTTACCACCAGACGTCCCTGGTCATTGATCCGCATGCTGGTCGGGTACAACGCACCTGGACACATGCAAACACGTGGGATTCTACAGAGGCTGTTGACCACAAACGGGGACTATCATCTTCTCTCAATCTGGAGAACTTACCCTGTAGTTCGGCCTGTGGGGGGCTGCCGATGCCGTCCTTCCACAGAATGGCTGTGTCGTATACAAACGTGAGACGCAGCTCGGACTGCAGGTCGAAGTGCTGCCAGCCACCGGTTCCCACGGGCGAGTGGAACACA